ACCAATCTTTTTTGAATGACGGAACACTTAACATTTTATAAGGTTTATTTTATAGGTACCACAATTATTCGGCCAACCCAAATATATTTTGTAATAAAATGAAGCTATTTTTGTCTAAAACATAATATGAAATTATTTAAAATGTGTAGAGTATTGAGATGAAAATATAAGCCAGAAATTAGTTTGTAAGCTGATTTTTAGTTAAGTTATATTGACTATTAAAAACTTTTGCCCCTCCTATTAAAATTTAAAAAATGAAATGACACCACTGTATTAATTCATTTTAAACATTGTCACAATATTATCTAGATATAAAAGTTTATATATTTTATGATATATATTTAATATATATGGTAAGACTAACCAGGAGCAGCAGAAGTAGTTACATTAACAGTTGTTCCTAATGTCAATTGGGTACCAGTAAGAGTTGCTGTAGGTTTGGCATTCAATGTTGCTGTTCCAAGTGAAAACGGAGAAGCGGTTGTAGCAGCTGTAGTTGCAGCTGAGCCAAAAGAAAGATTTAATGGAGCATTTGATGCTGAATTGTTACCCAGGGAAAATCCTAAATAATTAAATATAAAATAATTTTCTTTTTCCTTAATAATGATGAGTTAAAAAAATTACCCGGTTTAGWTGTAGTTGTTGCTAATGTAGGATTAGCTCCAAATGATAATGAAGTTGTAGGAGCACCCACATTACCAAATGAAGGAAATTGTGTGTTTGTAGTTTGCTTATTATTAGTGGCCCCTATGTTACCAAAATTAGTAGTGGTTGATGGTGTTGATGATGATGGCCAACCTCCTAAAGATGTTCCAATGCCAAATTGAGGGCTGTTGAAAATTAGTTAGATTATTTGTTRTGAAACATAACAATTTAAAAATAGGAATACCATTGAAAAAATATTTAGGTATTTCTTAATCAATTTACAATAAGAATAAATTTAACTCTTATCAACAATAAAAAATTGACTGTAATTAATTAATTTATCAATATAAAAATTTTTTGAAACCTATGGTAAATTATTATTTGAGGTAATGGTTTAGCGTATGACCCTTTATTTAAAAATAGTATAAATAAATTAAATAAACATGCTTACGTTGCTGCATTCCCTGCGTTATTCGTGGGAGTAGAACCACTTAAATTAAACATAGACATGATGTTTTTGAAATTATAGTTTTAAATTTAAATAAATAACTTCTATTTTAATACAAACTACTATACATAAAAACTTCTTAATCACGCGAGTGCTTAACAGTTATTATGAATTACAATACAAAATTGTAAATTTGTAAATCGTAAATATCACAACAAACGTGACCACGGTAAACTTATCAATAATTTTTATACCGTGTTATTGCTGAATTCAGTGAATTCATACCATGAATAATAACCACGAACGTCGAACCATAGAACAGTAGAACCACAGAAGAATCTGATATCAAAATCTGATATCACGAATAACAGATTAATAATATTATCTATTTCGTGATTAAAACAATGCGGCAATCCGCGAATCCGCCAGTCGCCACTTTATAGTTTATTTATATTTCAGTAAGAATCAAAACATTTGATATTAAGCTAGTCACACATTAAAATTTTTAATTAACTAACAAARACAATTCTTATTGATTTAATAATTTTAGTGGTTATAGACACRGAGTTATATCAACTTAAACAATGAGGTATGCTCAGTTGGTGATGGGACCAGCCGGGAGCGGAAAGGTAAATTTTTAATAATTAGATAATATTGCCAATCTGCGTGTTATGTTATTATTGTTATTAATATAGAAAAATAATTACTATCCTCTTTTAGTATAATTTGGACTTGAATTTATGAACTTAATTTTTGTTTATATGATGTAAACACCATAATGTTGCAGTTTCTTTGTGTATTTTTAGTTATTATAGTATTGAGTATAAAATATGTACAATCTTCTTTTCCTTCACCTGTTTACCTGTTCTCCCAACTATTTGGAGTCGGCCACCCTGGTTTTCTATTTTCACTGGTAATCAGTCAAAAAGTCCATTTTGAAAAAAAATGAACAAAAAGTCYGTAAATATAATTTAAATATTTTATTACATTTTCATCTATAATTATATTATATATAGGTATTTCATACTACACAAAACAATTAATTCAATATAAACATTGATGCCTACAATAATAATAATTTTAAATAATTCAATACAAATATCGACCATTATTACAGTAATATTAATAATTTAAATTACTTAAGTCAAAATAAATATGTTTGTATTGAATTATTTGTTTTGTGTAGTATGAAATACCTATATATAATATAATTATAGATGAAAATGTAATAAAGTATTTTATTTATATTTTCAGATTTTTGTCTGATAATAAAAATGTGCTCAGACTTTTTGCCCGACATTAAAAAAAATGAATCCGGACCTGTTGTTCATTTTTTTTCAAAATTGACTTTTTGTCCTCGGGCTTTTCATCCGTGATTCATTTTCACTTAAAACGATTCTTAGCATCCTCCTCACAAACACCAGTCATTCTCATATCGCACTCTAGAACTTTAAACCATCTCTTTTTTGGYCTTCCTCTTCCTCTTTTTCCGTCCACACTCATGTTCTTTATCACTGAAACTGCCTCAGTTTTTTTCTCTTCTTAAAACATGTCCTATCCATCTCAATCTATTCTCACACAATTTTTYGATTATTGGAGCCACTCCTATACTACYTCTTATATACTCATTTCTTATTTTGTCCTCTCTCGTCACTCCACTCATCTACCTTAACATTTTAATCTCCGCAACACTAATTTTCCTCTCCATTGTTTTATCTTTAGCCTAACATTCAGATTCACACATCATCAGCTATCTACTGTCTTATAAAATTTACCATTTAACCTAATTGGCATTATTCTATCGCATAAAACACCTGATGCTTCTCTCCACTTCATCCATCCACTCTTAATCCTATGCATAATATCTTTGTCAAAACCATCATTCTTTTGTAATATGTATCCTAAGTACTTGAAACTATCAACATCGTCCATTACCAGGCCCACCATATTCACTGCATACTAACTATTCTGAWTTCAAAGATTCTTTGGACTCTATCTTCTAGATGAAAATTATAAAATATATAATATATATGATACACCAACTAATTACCAAGTGCTATGATATAAAAATTAATTTGGAAATTAATATGTTCAACATTCTAGCTTTTGTCCCATTATTTATTTACAAAATTTCTTATTGCTTTGACAACAGATTTAATGATCAGTTTTTACATCCATTTTCTGTAATAAATAATCTGTATATCTTAATATTGTGGTATTAATAAATCACTACCAAAATTATTCATAGTAATTTTTACTTATATGTTTATTCAGTCTACATATTGTTCGGCTGTAGCAGAACATATTGAAAATGAAAAAAATTCAGTGATGGTAGTTAATTTGGATCCAGCAGCTGAACGTTTCAAGTACTCTCCAACTGTTGATATACGTGAATTAATTCATGTWGATGATGCTATGGATGATGAAATATTACATTTTGGACCCAATGGAGGATTGGTATTTTGTATGGAGTAAGTAAGCTATTTGATACAGATTAAGTATTTTATCTTAACAAAATACTATTGTACCTTTAGATATTTAATAGAAAATCAAGATTGGCTGAGAGACCAGTTGGGTGAAGATGATGATGACTATATACTATTTGATTTACCTGGACAAATAGAACTATATACCCATATGAAAACTGTTAAACAACTGGCAGAATTACTCCAAAACTGGGGATTCAATGTATGTTCAGTTATGTTGATTGATTCACAGTTTATGGTTGATGGACCAAAGTTCATTTCTGGTAATATAATATATATATTTAGATTCTAAAGTGATAATAATAACAAGAGCATTTTAAATGTGAAGAAGCAAGAAAAAAATTTAAAATATAAAATAAAGAAGTTTTTAAATGTTTCATTATTTTGTTAATTTAAAATAATGATTTTACTTCATTATTTGTAGTTTTAAAATAAAAAAACTATAATAATATATTTAGATAAATTTATCATTTGACTAAAATTTATGGTTACCAACTAAAATATTTATATGCATTGTTAAAAGACCTTTCAACATCCACACTAATTATTGATGCAATGTTTCATAGGTAAATAATTATCCAATATCTAAGTTRGTAATTAGTTTTCATATTTTCATCTTGGTTTTTAATAATAGATTGTTTGATTCTTATTCTTTATTTTCAGATAACTTAGTTGAATTTAGCCATTGCATCATTAGATTAATCAAGCTCAATTGTCAGTTATTGTTAATATTATGCATAAAACATTAACAGTATTATGTTACTAATTTATAACAAACCGATTTAAGAGGACGCTACACCCGCATGTGTTGTCTCCGTCTTGCATGCGTACTACATAGCAAATTTTCATTCGCTAGATTTAATATTGTGCTGTTAGTTTTGATATTAGAGTGAATTGACCCATTATCAAACTTTTTGGTAGGAACATTATCTGTGTTCTCATKTTGGTTTTTTACGATATTTTAATTTTTAAATGAGTTATGAGCATGTTAAGTGTGAATATTTGAAAATTCACATAACTCATTTAAAAATTAAAATACCAAAATGAGAACACAGATAATGTTCYTACCAAAAAGTTTGATAATGGGTCAATTCACTCTAATATCAAAACTAACAGCACAATATTAAATCTAGTGAATGAAAATTTGCTATGTAGTACGCGTGTAATACGGAGACGACACATGCGGGTGTAGCGTCATGTTAATCATTATTTTATGTTTCTAGTCATGCGAAAAAAAAACCCTAGATTTTACTCAACATCYGCTGTTTCATAAGTTCCTTTTATTAATTTCATTTAAAATCTTCTTAAAATTATGCGATCATACATTTCGATTCCTTTTAATTTGTTGATTTTTATTTTTTAGCACTTAACTCAATGTTGTGGTTACTGGTCTTTGTGMATTTTGCAACYCTGGGTACTCATTCAATATTGAAATTCGTTTCTGCTATTTAAAAAAGTATTATGTCATCTCAGCAATTAGCTGGGTTACATGTTTTATTATTTTCTCATACCTCTTAACAGACATTTAGACTWATATTATCAGAGATTTTAATTTTTTAGGTGTCTAAGTTTTATCATCATCACTRGCATATATAACTCTATTAGAGTTTTTGCCGCCAACACTATGTCCCTCCATTTCTCTCAATCTTGGATAATTTCCTTYCATTCTTTTATTTCTACAGTTTTAAGATCCTCTTCTACTTTGTCAAGCCAACTCTGCCTTGGTCTGCMTTGAGGTCTCTTCCCTTCTGGTTTCCATTCTGACACTGCCCTAATGGTTTCTTCTTCGCTTCTTCCAATTATGTGCCCAAACCACTGTAATCTTTGTCCTTTTATTTAGCTAGTGACTGGTGCTAAGTCCATTTCTTCTTGTAGTTTCTTATTRAACTTTCTTCTCCACTCATTTGTTCTTGCATCGTGAACTAGTCCACATATCATTATCCATATTTTGTTTTCAAAGGTTCTAAGTCTTCTCTCCGTCACTCTTGTTGTTGTCCATACTTCACATCCATAAGTGAGAGTAGGCCTTATTATTGCCGTATATAACCTTAATTTTGTCTTAGACAGCGCTTTAAAACATTTTGTTAAGCTTATTATTAATAATAAAAACATTTAATATTGCCCCATGTGTGATTTCATCTTATGGATAAGAATTGTATATGAAATAGTATTTACTAATTATAAATAGTGTTATGAATATTTTTAAACATCTTTTGAAAATACTTAATTTTGTAAAATTAAATTATAGGAACAATGGCTGCTTTATCGGTTATGATAAATTTAGAACTGCCTCATGTTAACGTTCTTTCAAAAATGGACTTACTTAGTAAAACAGCTAGAAAACACTTGGACAAGTAATTATTTGTTTTTTCTTTATTTCAATGTTTAATTTTTAAATTTAAAATTGTTTAATTTAGTTATTTAGAGCCAGATACTCGTGCATTGCTGTCTGATGTAAAAAGTAATACAAGCTGGGGAAAGAAATATCGGTATTTAAGTAAATGTATTGGTAGAATGATTGAAGACTATAGTCTTGTTCAATTTGTACCATTAAATATAAAAGATGAGGATAGTATTTCTGGGTTACTATATACTATTAACACAATGATTCAATATGGGGAAGATCAAGATGTCCGTATGACTGATTATGATCTACAAGATTCAGATGATAATGCAGGTGGTGTTGAACAATTTGATTAGGGTTAAAGAAAATTACACATTGTTAGTGATACAATTTGTGTAAAATTAAATGTCGATAATATTTTGTTTGCGTAACTGTTAATATTATTATTAATTGTGAAGACTGTTTTTTTTATTATTAAAGTTATACATTGATTAAATTAAGAAAATGAAAAAAAATATGTGTAACCTTACARTAAAATTTGTGCACTTAATTTAATTATTGTATAAATAAAATCTTATAATGTTAAACTAGTTATGTAATTTAAAATTGTTCTATATTTTAGAATAGAATTTATTTACTTCTTGTCTTCATTTGATAACTTATGTATATCTCCAAACTGTACATCCTATAAAATAAAATATTTTTTTTACCTATTTGTGTTTACTTCAAAAAAATTATTATATCAAAGCTTAGATATTTTTTGAAACATTAAATTTTTAATGATTTATTTTCACTTCTGTGGTGTTATTAATACWACACTAGCCAACATTAAATGTTAATACTAAATTAATCATGAAAATTATTATTACTTACTTATATTATAGTAATAATTTTTTTTATATACTTAATATTCTATAGATACGGTAGATACCTTATTTCCACTGTGGTTGGTTTTTCTACTTCGTAATGCAGCAGTAATATTGCCACAAACTATTGATTGAATAGTTAATTTGGGTTTATCTTGTTCAATTTCTTTTAATAAATATAATTTATTGATACATTTATTTTTTCAAAGTAAAATTAAATATATTCAACATATCTTACCTAAAGTTTGATTTCCATTAAAATGATTCAGGTTTGGTAAAATGTTGCGAACATTTTGCTCAAAATTTTCAACTTTAGTCACTGGACATCCCGACAAAGATAAAGATTGTAATTGTTCGCAAAAGTTTAAGAAATGTAACCTTGTCAAATCCATGATTTTATTTCTATAAAATGTATTTTTAGTCAAAAAGTAAAGTTTAGTATGATACCTGTTATGATAAAATATACCTACCTAGATAAGTCTAGAGTGATGAGTTTAACCAGTGTAGAGCATAGCATTAGGTCACTAATATCATTGTCAGATGCGAATAACTCTTCCAAGTTTGGTATGTTCCAAACTCCATCCAATGACTTTAGGTTGCATGAGGCTACTTTTAGAACTTTCAAATTATCAAGTTTAAATGCAAAATCTCTGTAGGGAAATATCGTTTTTTTTATTATATTTTGTTTAGCCTAAATAATTTTGTCGAAATAACCTGAAGGACGGTAGAAAACTGTCTGTTAAATCAAGCTCCACCAAATTTGGTACATATGTACCCAACATACACAAACGGTTTACAGACATAGGAACTTGTAATTTAAGTGAAGTGATTTGATCCAAATTTCTGTTTTTAACAGTATCCTCCTAAAAATCGAACATTTAGTTATGTAAGTTAATATTTTACTTGTGTAGGGTATACTGTATACTGGTATAGGAATATTGTAGAATATAATTTATAAATACATAATTATTATGCATGAATTAAATTAGTAAAAATATAATATTGTATTGAGTGAATGTGAGGTAATGTGATTTCTTGTTTTATGGACCAAGTTACGAAAATAAATATTTAAAAAACAATTAAATTAAATCACGCATGTATGTACGGATTGTTTTTGAATGTACTTAACGTATAATGTACTTAATACTTTGCTTGGGATATGGTTTTCATTATAATATAATATGACCATACTTTATCACTGCATTTTTGAAACTATTTGTGTAATTATTAATAATCGTTATAAAATAATTGATAATAAGTAATAACCTACCAATAGCGTTGTTATACCCATATTTCTGTTGTTGTTTACCTCGTCCAAGTGTGATTCCATGTTTATTATAAAGTCTACAAGAATTCACTATAATTAACAACTGTAATTGAACTATAATGATATTATTGGGTTCAACAATTTTTTCTTCTTTTAAACTGACTACGTTCGTGTCTCGGTCAGTTTCTATGGTTACCATTGTTGAATCATTAAAATCAGGGCTCGTAAGTTCATCCATTTCCATATCAATCTTGCTAAGTTCACTAGTTTAATGCYAAACGCTACAGAAATCCAACGACTAGTGGTGTGCTCCAACACCGTAATTTTTGTAGTTTTAGGCCAACAAGCGGAAGATTAGGTAGTTTATGTACTTCCCGATGTCCGATTATTATTTTAAAAATATGTATGAGCTCATCATCAAATTTTCTAGGTTATGYAGGAAACAGATTTTTGATTTTTGTATTTTATAAGGCTTAAAAAATATGTTTACTTTTAAAAAAATTATGGAAAGTATTTTTATTTTATACACATATATTCAATTTTAAAACATTTATTTTTCCTACATAACCTAGTAAAATAGTTAACGAATACAGACTTATTTTCAAAATTKAAATCGGGTCATGGGAAGTAACTAAATAAATCTTTCTCTTATAGCTATTTTATACCGATTTTAAAACGGAAAAATTTCAAAAATTCAATTTGGTGAACTGTGCATGCGCATGCTTATGTACTGTTCTTAGAATCGTAGACGACATGTTACAGTGTCATTAGTCTAATGATCGATAAGGAACGAATCTTGTATTAAAATTTCAAATCTTARATTTAAAAAGAAAAAGTTTTATGTATTTCTAGCTTAAAATAATTTGCGAATTTTCATGATTTTTATATATGTTGTCAAACTTAAAATTTTCAATGCTTGTAAAAAAATTGTGATAATATATTTCTTTTATTTTTCAATTGCCATTGTAACAATATGTTAAGAGCCTTGTATTAAATTTTCTAGTTTTTCTGCCCAWCAAATAAACTTTTATCGATATTAATTTTAAAAAACTAATAATGATCGAAAATTTCAAATGTCTATGAATAGTTCAACTTAAGTACAACAATTTTGAAAATTGCACGGTGGATAGAATATACTTATATAAACATTCGGTGAAAATTTTATGTATCTATGGTCATTTGTTTTAAAGTTACATCAAAAATCAAAATCGATTTTGTCGAAAAATTAGTGTGCGTAAAATTTGCCGTTTTTCCCTTAATTTTTGGTTTGTTTATCCCGAATATTTAGACAATTTTAGAATTTTATACTTTTGAGTTTGACCACCAAAGTACCAAATAGRTTCACTTTCTGATCGAACGAGGTACTGAAGTCAAAAATCGAAGCTCTTTTATTGCCCCAAAACGTGATGACAGGCACAAAAAAAAAATACACATCATGGTAAAATCAATACATTCCGCTCAGAATCTAAAATAATGCTTGCGCTAACCAAAATGACATAGATCTATAGTTTAAAATTGTTTTTTAAATCTAATAATTTTTTTCTGTTGCGTCTTTTTTAATATGCAATTAGTATTATATTGAAACATCATTATAACCTTTAGATTTAGAATACACGGAGATAAAATATGTATAAATAATAAACATAGTTTATTTTGGTTATTATCATCATAATAAATTAATAAATAAGTTCTGAGAATACCTGCGTATTGCAGCTGATAGGTAGGCGGTGCGCGGTGGTACGACAACGCGATAATTGCCCAGATAAAGCATTACASAAATAGTGTTCATTCACTACTCACACAATGACACCGTTCAAATAWACATGTAATATATTCTGCCTAAATATTACTCCTTAAAATATGCTATGCTCCAACCCCCTTAAGTATGTGAAGTATTATTTAGCCTATATGGCATGTTTATGCGTTTTTCAATTCTATTGGGCATATTAGTTTTCACAATTTTGATATTCTCATTGATATTATTTGTATAATTATATTGTATTGATGATATACATTTTTAAATTAAAATACTACAAAAAACTGATGAAAAAATGTAATAATTTATATTTTTCACTGTATAAAATGTATGGAAACGGTCGCAATATGAAACGATTAAAAATAAAACTTAAATTATGAATGGATATTTCTTGCTATTCATGATTAAACTGCTTATGATTTCTTCTGTTTTTAATCCACATATTATATATTTTTATTATAGGTATAGTTTTAGATTTTTAGTATATATAAATGCACTTTTTAAGCGACATTTCAATGCTTATGTATTTTGCCAGTTTTTAGTGCATAACTTTGATTATTTAGGCATTTTTTAAATTATAAGCTTACGAGCTATGATTATAATATTCACAAATAACGACCCCATGAATTAAATACTAAATTATATATGTATAATATATAATATATATTATATATCAAATATTTTGCTATTTCGCTATTTTTCTTTTTAAAATTAATGGTCCAAACTCGCATACCTAAATTCAAGTAATAATAGTGATGTAAAAGTTTAGAACTATACATTTATAGGATTACCTATGTGTTTGTAATAAATAGGGTTCGGATTTGAAGGCAAATGCCTTTCTTTTATTTATCATAATAGAAAAATAATTTTTATACAAAAATGTGTTTCATTTAATTTCTTAGACGATGGATGCATTTTTTTTTGCCTTTTTACTTATAAATGCCTTTTTGCCTTTTTTTTTACCTTTTGTACTTATAAATGCCTATTTTGTGTTTAATTTTTTCAGTTGATTTTATAATTTTATACACAGCTTGCGTATTATCGCTACAAATGGGTTTTATTATTCGCAATATTTATCGATATCGTCTTATCGAGTATTTGGTATGGCCATAAAATTACCCGTACATCTATTTAAAGATTAAGATATGTTCGTAATGCGTAGATTCAAGATTGTTCTTCAGTCCGCCCGCATTTGTCGATCGCAATAATTTTTTTTTTAATACCAACTAGTTTCTTTTGCATGCAGTTTTAATTTTTAATTTGTATTTTTCTCAAAATGTATGCAATTGAAAGTGTTTAAAAAATGTTCACTTTTTTATTTTGTAGTATATTTATGAATTGCCTTTTTATATAAATTAAATGCCTTTATTTGCCTTTTTTTACATTTTAAATGCTTTTTTTATTGATTATATTGCCTTCAAATCCGAACCCTGGTAATAAATAAAAATCAAGATTTTGTAAAAAGTGCGAATGTTCTATTGATTATAGTGGAAATATTTCTAATCTCAAATCACAATTTCGTATTTTTAGTAATGAAAATCAATAAAGTTCATGTTAAAATAAATTAATTCCATTCAAATTATCGAGTAATACTAAATGTGCTGAACCTGAATAACTGACAAAAAGATATTTGATCATTTTATATGATATTATAAAGTAAAAAGAAAAGTTAATAGTAAAGTTATAAGACATTTATGTCTTTTAAGACCTCTGAGTATCTATTGTAGAATGGGGTGATTTTCTTAAATTTATGAAAATAGCTGTACCTACAGAGTATGTTGTTTTGGTTAAATAAACTAAAACTATGGTAGAATAGTTGTATATATTGCACAAAATTAAATTATTAAAGATTAAATGCTTAAAAATATATATTTCTTATTGTCAGTATTATAAGAAAACTGGTGTTAACTTATACAAGTTATGAGAACAGGGAAAGTCTCTGGTCTTATATTTCAATAAATGCCTTCATTAATTTAAAATCTATTTTTTAATTATGGAAARCATTTAAAATAAATTTTGTGTTGTTCAGGGCCGTCGCGTGTTAAGCTTTATGGCACCCAGGGGCACTAATTTAGGTCGATAAGCACTAACAGCGGTTTCTGAAGCTCGAGGCGCCCAGTGGCATGTGCCCCTTCTACCCCCCCCCCTTAACACGGTCCTGGTACTAGTGGTACTGGTGTATGAGAATAGGTACCTATGCGATAATATGCTATGCAAATATGATCAAAGCTATTAATGCCGTGATAGATTAAAGGCGATTAAATAAATTAAATTAAGTGAACTGGCACTCGACAGTAAGTGCCGCTCACTCTGTATACAGATATCTATAAATGTCAGTGGCGTCATATCCCCCCCTCATAACCACGAGAAAAAATACTAACTAACAAATTTGGTGTTAGGTACGGGTAGATCAAAGAGAAGACAAAAAAAACGGTCCTCTCATCGCATCAAACGCACCAAATGAACTGAACTGTACGATATGTCGATATGTACACCGCAGTTTATTCAACTTGAAAGCATAATATTTTTATCAGAGTGTTTGACCGAATTCAAATAAATTTAAGTGTGCACCATCGCATGCAGCCACAATATTGGCAAATAATTATTCGAAACCATTTATGCATGGAATTGATTACCGATCAAAACCGCGCTTACTATAATGTCGTACATCCTGAATAATCAAAATCAAAGAAAATGTATTGGTTTTGACCATAATTCATGGTATACTGGGCGTCGTATATATAGTCGTATGTAACAAATAATAATATAAACTTACACATCATTAAATTATTCTGTGACACTTTGTACTTATATATATATATGACGTATTCTTATGAGCTTATAAAACGTTAACACAGTAATCGTTATTCGTTAATATTTAACACATGCATTTCATTATTTTAAAACCTATTTAATGTTTGTGACCGATTGTTACGGTTAAATAAACATCCTTTCGGTGTAATCATATTTTATTCAACGCAGGAGACAGTTTTGACAGCACAACTCTAAATAAATCACCGGGTTAGCCTCGGACACACGGCGACAGTTTATAGACACTCATCAATCGCCAGAGCTCCTAAGAAATTAACAATTTTATGCACTATACATTCTATGGCGCTGACCAATACATTGTTGTTGGCGCTTTGCGCCAATTGGCCACCKTCGAACATTACAGAAATCACTTTACCGCCACCGTGGAAATGGAGTAAGTTTAGAGTTGCTAAATTCGCATGTATAATTATTATGCCGTTTTCCGATCAAAAATATTATATTCCTGTACTGCGTAGTTCAAATATTTAATTTGTACATTGAAAGAGAGGTAGACCTTAAGACCTTTTTTTGTCAGTTTTTATATTTTAGAAATATGATTTGATAAAATCCATATTTTCGAGTTTTCGGTTACAGTTCAAAATTAAATAAGAATATAATTTTTAAGTGTTCCATATGAWATCGTCGATATCTATATATAGACAGTTCTCTAGAATTTCAAATATTTTTAAAATTGAAATCGGACGACAAAACGAACTTTTGTTGTCTTAAAACTTTTAAAACAAAACGTTGATGGCATTAAGAAATGTACCTAAYHTTTATTTCCCAAGAATGAADAAATGCATTATAATAGTTTTTATGACTAAAATACTAAATAGTGAACAATAACTATTATTTATTTAATTAAATTTAGTTTCTGAGCATAAAGCGAAATTCATGAATAGTACCGAATATCAGTGTGATCTGAAAAACAACTTTCAGATTCAATACGAAATATTAAGGGGTAAACGGTTGAAAATTGCCACATTTCCAGTAAGTGAACTTATAATAATTAAAACTAGTTTTAGAATTATGTAAATGTAAAAATTAAAGTGGTTTTAGCTAAAAAATATTTTTTTGAGAGTTTATAAATTAAAACGTTTTTCTATTTCACAGAATTCAAAACCTTTGAGCTGGGTTACAAAAGAAATCAACGGTACGCTTATCGGCCACGGAATTGCATTTGAAATTGTAGAAACGCTTCGTCAACGGTACGGATTTACTTACGATGTGGTAGTACCAACAAGAGAAACATTGTTAAATGAAAATGGCAGTATCATCCATATGCTAATTAATGGGGTGAGACAACAGAAAACAAATTACTTAAAACAAAATGATTCCATTTTCTTATATTTATTAACATGGGTGATTGGAATACTTTWAAAAAAATATTTAGTTTTTTTAGTGTCTAATAATTTCAAACCTATAACTCTGGTCACATCTCACATAGATGACTTATTATTTTGGACTTGAATATTAWAGGTATATAAATATTTATAAAATTATAAATAACAACTTTATAGGYGACCTGCTATGATATTTTTCTTAAAATGTATATAATATTAAGCTATGTGTAAACAATTATACTTTCATAAATATAATTTCATTTGTTTAAAAAAGGGCATTGTTCAAGTTTATTTTTATTTGGATTTCTCAAACAACAATCTCAAGAGAATAAAGTCAATTCATTCAAGTTATATAATATTTATCGAGTTATTTAAAAAAAACTAAATTATCAATAATAATAGACAATACCGTCAATACYTATTGTGGACAATTGAAATATACTAATTTAAATATTTTACTAGAAATTATATTGATATAGATAGTACATATTATAATATGTAATATTACTTATTTTTAAATTAACAGGATTTTGATATAGGTAGTTTTTGCATAAATTGAATAAATATAAAATTGATAAATATATTTTTAAATTTTAAATAATGTTTTCACTAAACAGTAAAAAATACTATTAGGACAATAGAAATGGAATACAATGATATGGGTACCTCCTAATGCATAATTAAAATGTGTTCCCATAATATTTTTTTATTGAATATATTTCATCGATTACTAACTTCATTATAAATTAAACACTTTTTCATTATTTTAATTGATTACACCAAAAATTAACCCATAGCCAATAGTCACTTGTTTAAAAATATTATAAATTAAAATCAATACATCTATAATAAAGTAGGTATAATATATAAATATTGTCTATATGACTTTATGCCTGTAATGATTATCAACATGCAATAAACATAATTTATTAGAGTGCAAAGTTATATTTAAATAACTATTTAATATAAATAAGCTGTGTATAAAAAACTTTTTGTTGATATGATTCATTAAGAAAAAAATAAAACAATCAAACATGAAGTTCAAAATAATTATACAAAATACATATTAGGTAAATGTTGTAGAATGTAGTAACTCGTTTATATAGAGTGTTTAATATCTTTTTTTTATACTACTAACTATAGCATAATTAAAATAATTGAATAAAATATACTAAAACACTGTAAGTTTATAACTTTTAGAGTTATTAATTTAACAAGGGGTCTACATACAAATAAAGTTTTAATTCGAAGTTTCCACTCCATAAAATCTTAGTTCGTGATTTTTATACATAAATTATTAATGAACAATATATTTTTATTATATTCATTTAACATTAATCAATAGAGTTCTAATAGTCTCTAAAGTCCCTTAAACATSATTTAGTGGCCAATAACTTGTTGATCATATTTTACTGGTTTAGTGAATACGTATTAGATTCTGAGCGGAGCGAGGAATGTATTGATTTTACCATGATGTGTGATTTTTTTTTTAAATTTAAAAATTTTTTTTTTGTGTCTATCATCACGTTTTGGGACAGTAAAAGTGCTCCAATTTTCGACTTCAGTAATACTTCGTTCGATCAGAAAATGAATCTAGTTGGTACTTTTCGGGGTCAAAAATAAAAAATTCTAAATATTTTTCTAAATAATCGGAATAAACAAACTAAAAATTAAGGGAAAAACGGGAAATTTTACGCACAATCAGTTTTCGACAAAATCGATTTTGGTTTTTGATGTAACTTTAAAACAAATGACCATAGATACCTACATGAAATTTTCACCGAATGTTTATATAAGTATATTCTATCCACCATGCAATTTTCAAAAAATTTAAACTTAAGTTGAACTATTTATAGGCATATGCAATTATCGATCATTATTAGTTTCTTTTGAATTAATATCGATAAGAATTTATTTGTTGGGTAGAAAAGCTTGAAAATTTAATACAAGGCTCCTAACATATTTTTACAATAGCAGTTGAAAAATAAAATAAATGCATAGTCACATTTTTTTTTTTCAAGCATTTAAATTTTAATTTTGACAACATACGTAAAAATCACGAAAATTTGCAAATTATTTTTAAGCTAGAAATTCATTAAAAATGTTCTTTTTAAATCTAAGATTTGAAAATTTTTAATAATCTATAATATATCCTAGACAGATAAACAGTCTCCGTTCAGAATCGTTTTTCGTATACAATGATACCTATCATTGCATTCAAATTTAACCTACCCTAGTCAGAGGTCCACCCCACCCCCTAATGTACAGAAGAGCAATACCCACTTACCCGCTTTTTTTTTTATGTAACTCATCACCACTAGAGTTTAGTAGTACGTTGTAAAAATCTTGCATGTCATATACATATTTTTAGGAAAATATAAATTCATTTTTTATATAATTATCTATTCAATTTATTCTTAAATAATATACATATATTTTGTAATATTATATATATATTGTTTAAGGAAGTAGATATGGCAGCTGCTTTTATACCRGTTTTGCCGGGACTGGATGATTTTGTGAAATGGGGCATAGATTTGACTCAATTTCAATACGTTGTGCTTATGAAAAGACCTAAAGAAAGTGCTTCTGGATCTGGTTTATTAGCACCTTTTGAACCTGAGGTAGTATTATTATAAATCAGTCTATATAGATGTTAATGATTGATTAATGAATATTGTAATAATACTACAAAATTATAATTTTTATTATATAAGTTGGTTGATAAATAAATAACTGCAGGTTTTTTAAAGCGTCAAATGTATAAAAAAAATTTTTTATCTTAATAAATCATAAATGTATAATTTATTGATCTATGATATTTATAACTMAAAAACTTAAGTATTTTGCCTTTTAGGTGTGGTTATTAATTTTGATTTCACTGATAGCRGTCGGTCCAATTATTTACGGTATTATGAAGTTAAGACATAAACTCTGTGGTCACGATTCAGGGGTAATATATCCAATACCCACGTGTGTTTGGTTCGTATATGGTGCGTTAATGAAACAAGGATCATCGTTGAACCCAGATACTGGTACGTACTTAGCTCGTTAAACGGATGGCTAATTATAATTATTAATTATCTTCAATATATGACACAACGCTATTGATTTGGATATCGAACTGTYGTAATAATGTGCTCTATAATAACTATCGATGTAGTTGTAGGTACATTATTTAGCTCCAACTATATTCTTTTATTACCATGGCTGAAGTTATTAGCTATAGAATTAATCTATAGTTATTATTATCTACTTATATAATATACAGGGGTTAAGTGGTGTTGATGAAGATGCAAATATAGGGTTAGTCCCTTTATATTTGGCCATGTTTTAACATTTTTTGAAAAAGATACCCTATATAGTTCACTTTTGCCTCGAATATGAATCAAACATTTCATTAATTGAAATAATAATTTAATTTAAATGCTATCATTTTAGTTGTGTAAAGTTCTTTCATTAAATATTTTTCTATATGGTTAAAATATTATACATATAGTTCTTAATTAATTTTGTTTTATAATCTCCCTTAATTAGTAATTATATATTTATATGTTTCATTATAGTACAATCATTTTTGATCAGTAGTCGTTTATATTTATATTTTTTATTATATTTGCTATAAAAAGTAGGTAATATTAATGTTTCTTTTATGTAGGTATGTATCATTTAGTTTTAAAAGCGTACTTAACATAATTTAAATTCTGGAAAAGTGCGAATTGGGTAATAAAAATTAGGAATTTGAATGCAAATTTTATTAGTAATATAATAAGGCACTAATTTAGTGATTATAAGTACAAGAACTTATTATAATTCCCATTGGTCGAGACATGCAAGGGCAACGCAGCAGTGCAATAAATATTTTTGAATAATTATAATTATTTAAATTTACATATAGAACGCTTAAAATAGTAACAGCAGGTGGAACGAGAAACGCAGTATTTTTTGTGATTCTGTGTTACTTTAAGCCGTTCTTATATAATTTCTGTACATATATGAAAAAAAAACCTTTCTGTCCTATCTAGATATATAGATAAATAATACATCATTTATAAATCATAAATGATGAATATCTGTATCTGATGTTTGGTTTTAAAATTAAACACTTTTAAGTCAATAAACTAAACGTTTGTATAGATTCGGCAAGACTCATATTCGCCACATGGTGGATATTCATAATGATATTGACTTCATTCTATACAGCCAATTTGACCGCATTTTTAACACTTTCAAAATTTACGTTACCCATAAAAAAAATAGATGATATCGCGAATGGCGAGTACCAATGGATCTCTTCAGAGGGTAGCGCCGTCGAATACATCGTTAAGGTGGGCAACGATTTGAAGCCACTCAAACAATCAATGTTTGAGGGAAATGGTCAATTTATGGTTATAAATATCGACGAAATTGATACAATTTTAAAATACATTTTATCAGGTAAGAAAAGAAAATATAAAATATAGTGACTTGGTGAGGCGCAGTTGTACGCTCAATCTGCGGAAACGAATGTATATACGTATATGTACGTACCAGCCGCTGTAGTTGYTTGCTCTCGGATGGGTCATGGGTGACCACCCGAGATTTTTAGCAACATATCTTTGTCACACATACACGAACACGTGATACGACCCTACCAGCTTAAAAACCCATAAACAAAATATATAAAAACAACCCCTAACATCCCACACGCAATGGCCTATGTTGCCGAGGGTTGCACATAAAAAAAATAAAAAAATAGAAATAAAATAAAATATATATTTTTTTTGATTTGTATAATACATTTTCAAGATGTAATTATATACCTTCGATTATATTTACTGTATGCCTGTATACAAAACATCAAATATGAAATTAATTAAAATTAAAAATTAAATAGTAATTTTTATAATAATTATAATTTAGAACTTATCAACCAACTGGATCACACATATAAAAATTTCAAATTAAACTATAATTTATTAATTGTTTTCAATTTTTTAACTACGTATATAATATTATTAATATTAGGAGTATTATATACATAAGAATAATAGAAATCAAATAATCTGTAGTATAATCATTTCACAATTTCATTCATAATACAAATAAAATTAATATTTTTTATGTTTAAAAAATGAATAAATTGTATCAAAGTTTGAAAAAATTAACATGATTCTAGTGAAACAAAATGTGCGAAAAAAAGTATCTATCTATATATGTTTTCGTGAAGAAAAATAAACAGTAAATCTTATTTTTAAAGCAAAATGTCCACCCTAATTTTGAATAAACATTTTTTTTTCATATTATACAATATTATAGGGACGTTGCTTCTACATGATAAGAATTGGCTGAATTTTTTAATGTTGCACATCGAAAGGTCAATAACGGATGACAAGGAACGGTGTCGCTATGTGTTGACCTCAGAGCCATATTTGACAAGATCAATGTCATTTGTTTATCCTAAACACAGTATTTTACCACCACTTTTCAATCCAATGTAAGTGTTCATTTGCGCAATTATCTACGAGTATAACATAATGTAATAGGCATTAGACTCTAGAATATAATAAATGTTTATATATTTTTAATTAGTCATTCGAAACAAAATCTAGTGGAGTAATCTAATACAAACAAAAATATATTTAAAATTAATGAATAATAGCTTTATATGTTTCCTCTTGCAGAAGACTATTGAAGTAGGTATAGTTATTTTTTAAACTATTGTATATATATATATATATATATATATAAATATATAATATTTAAACTGTTAGTGAATTCCATAAACTAATATTTATAAATATTTACATAATATACTTAAACGAATTAAAAAAGTGCTAATGAGAAGGTGATGGGATGCCTATTTTTTTCCTTAAAACTATTGCTGAGAAAAAATATTTTAACTATTATTGAAGGTTTGGTTAAAACATCCTAGACCTATACCTATATACCCTATTCCCTATACCTATTATAAAACTTGTATTAAATTGTAAACATAAATCATATATTAYTATTAGATTTTACCAAACCTAATATTAATTTACCTTCTATTGAATTGTTTTTCATAACCATTACCGTTAAGTTATACACTAAATAGTAAGTACACATACTTTAGCTTGATGAGATGAGAAGCGGTTTCTGGTTTCAATCACAAAACGTTATCTGGTGTCAGCCCCGCTGACAAACCGCTGGTTTTAATTTCCGGATGGGTGACCACCTGGGTTCTTAGAGACGAATCCTTGCGATACACATATACGCGTGTTCCTAATCTAAACCAACCKTACCCTTCCCTCCACAGCTAAAAACCTACTAAAAAACCAGCCAATGACATATATTGCCATAGGTTAATTATTAATAAAAAAAAAAAATAAGTAAATAAATATATAGTCTATAAATGAGCTACCTACTATAATAATATTACTATACAAATACAATGATGAAATATAAACAGCAATTATTACATACTTACATAATATAATAATCTTATTTAAATATTTTGTTTTACATTTCTTCGTTAAAAGTTACTGCATGCAGTTAAATTGTGAAATGACAGTTATTGTAATTGACGTGTGAATAAAAATTAGATGAAATTATGATTTTAATACAAATTATTGGTTTTTTTTTTTAAAAATATATTACCAATCTATTATCCTATATATAGTATAAATAGTATGTTCTATGTTCATTGTTCAATATGATGACAATATCGACAATATAGTATATATATACTATATTAAGCATAATTAAAACTGAAAATAACGATTTTTACTATCATATATACGAACAGAATGCTGTCGTACATGGAGTCGGGCATCGTGAGGCATTTGCAGACCAAAGACTTGCCGGAGGCGGTCATTTGCCCTCTGAACCTGGGCAGCAAGGAGCGGAAGCTCCGCAACTCGGACCTGTATACCACGTACGCGGTTGTGGTGTGCGGGTTCTCGATGGCCGCGGCCGTGTTCACTCTCGAGCTGCTGTCCACGCGCACCGGTTGGTTCGTGGCCATCAACCTCGACCGCAGCCCGCAAGATCCGCTGCACGGAGACGCGGTTCGAAGCGAGATCGCTGTTTTCGGTCAGCCGTCAAAGGCCATGTACCCTTTCAGCCACCGGAACAACGTCATGAACGCCTCATCCGCCACGCATTTTACCTTTCGCGGACCGTCGTCATTGTCGCCGCCGCCGTTGTCGTCGTCGTCGTCGTTTTTGATGTTTGACGGAAAATCTTCGTTGCGAAGATTTCAGTATTGATCCACCGCAGACTATATAGCTTATTTATTACAGTTTATTATACTAGGTAGCTGTATAACTAGATTTCGCCCGTGAAAAATGAATATATAACTAAATACAAAATACATTGATATTTTATTGGTGTATATCTCGGTTTCACCTATAGTATTAGTAGGTATCTTAGTCACACGAAAATTGTAACCGGTCTACCTCACTTTATAAACTAATTCGGTTGCAATGGGAAATTTACCTGAGGTGGATTGGATATGGCACTTGATATATGTATATCTTCAAACGTGGTTATAAAGTACCTAAAAAAATGCGCTTTAACATGGTATAATATACCAACTATGAAGGCATATAGTGTCAAAATGTTAAGACTATAGCTACCATAGTTAGGGCCCTACGTTTATTCAGTCAGTTAGGACACGTTCGATTTAAATTTAGATAGACTATATCTGTAGAACTCGACTTCGCTAGTGAAAAAAATGAACAAATATAAAATATACCGCTTTATAAGTCAAAGATCTATAGTGTCTTGGTTTTAGTGTAGTTCCTTCAGTTTAAGGTCAAATATAGGCGTCAACCATGTACCTACCTCATTTTATATAAACTAATTCAATCGAGATTTGCCATTCGTTTGTGGTCAATTGGATGTAGCACTTGGTATATTTCTGGACATGGTTCAAATTAATCTTTACATTTTTCTGACATTTCTAAGAATTTGAAAAGCACATTAAAATGTGTAGAATAGCTATTAAACATAATAAATTTACTAACATACATTCAACTCTCAAATACATACATTACAAAGGGTTCAATTAAACTAATACTCTGCTGGAATAGAACAAAATTGTGTTGTACAATTAATTATATTGGGGAATATTTTCCACGTGTTATTCAGTTATCGTTTACCGGATTATCAACATATTTCGTTTATCATTTATCATTATTTAGGAATATAATGAACTCTTATAATATACTATCTTAATTTCGTATTTAAGTCATTTTAAATAATTGGTCACTAATGAAAAGAAAAATACACTGACCGCAAATGAACCGATAGCGTATGTAGCAACTATATATTTATTCTAAACAGGTCATGTTTAACGATAACATTTGATAATAATGTCTGGTTTAATTTATAAAATATTTTACACATTGTTATTTACTATTTCTTACATTACAGTATAAGTCTTATTTTACATTTTTTATATATTTTTCCTGTGATTACCAACATGTATTTATACAAAATAGCATTGTATTTATTCCTACATCAAAATAAATATTTCAATTTTTTAGGACTCTTAAACAAGTTTACCCTAAAAGCAGAAAAACGTCACAACATCACTGTCACCACTTGAGGATTACTTTAAATTTTTAATGCCACTTTTTGCGTTATTTTTAAACCATTTTATAGATACATAATTGATTATCAAATTTAAATTATGTTCAAATCATAAACAATATTATTCTTTAATCTTTACCAAAATTATTTGATTCATTATCCTATACAGCATTGGTTATACGAGTATAAGCCACGATTTTTACATAACCCATAATAGAAGTGATAGAACGACTAGATGTTTATTTAAAAGAAATCATAAAAATATTAAGGATGAAAATATAATCCTTGTGTTCTATAATAATTCCACTGGTTTCAAACACAGCAAGATGGTTTTAAAACACATGGTAAAATACGTTTAATATAATATGCAAGTATATTATACAATATATGTATTATAACACTTATTAGATATAAATATTGACTTAAAAATCGATTATGATGATTATTAAGATTTGTCAAAAATAACTATATTATTTCGATGACAAGTTTCTTATACAGCAGCAGCATACCAGCCATGCAAGCATTTAGGAACTGGTGACTGAGTGACAAAAACAGCTCGCCCTATCTCTGTCCAACTCTTCGCGTCCAAAACTATTACTCCAGCTTGGTTTTCACACTTCGATCCCCAAATGATTGATGATAACACTACACCGTCATCTTCACCCTGTTCACATTTACAGGTACATCAAAAACAGTTAATGATTTTTACTTATAAACATACTACATATTTATATTTCCATAATGTCACAAGCTTTAATATTAGAGTGAATTAACTATTAACCAATATGATCAAACTTAAGTTAAGAACATAACCTTTATGCTGYCGTTTAATTTTTACGATATTTCAATTTTAATCCGAGTTATGAGTAAGTAAAATGTTACAGTTTTAAAATTCTCATCTCACTTTAAAATTTAAATACCGTAAATAAGTCAACTTTAGAACAAAGATAATGTTATTAAATTCAAGTTTGATAATAGGTAAATTCATTCTAACTTCTAAAGTTCTAACACCAAAGCTAACTACACAAGGTATTGTATCTCATGATTCATGGGCGCAAATTTAATATGTTGTGCGTGGGCTAAAGTGAGAAAATAAATGTGCTGATGTCCTCTAAATAAAATTTAATCGAAGATTATATGATAAAATAAGATAAATGCCTGTCGCACTACCAATAATCATTTACAGTTAAGGAATCTGGCAATCTGAAATAGTGATAGCAAACGGTACCTTAGTCCTTAAGCATAATTTATATTAAAGTGCGGACACCATTTATTAAATCAATACATTTTTTATACGTCATGGCCTCATGGCACACTTAATATGTTTTTTAAATTATAATTTAATAAAAAATCATTGTTATATAAATTTGTACTAATAGATTATAGACTATATAGATAAATAATATTTAATTTTAGAATTATTTCATTTCTCAAACATATTGATATGTATATAACTCAATCTAGTGTATTCTATATGTATTTATTGTTATTTAACTTATATTTTATCTATGTAAGTTAATAACCATAGTTGTTGATGCTTAAACATGAATTTAAAAAAAAAATATAATAAATAAGTACCTATTTGATTTTATGAAAATTACGTATACATACTTCAGCGTCTGGGAAAGAAACAAAAATTGGTTCACTAGGATATACGTTCTGTTCACACCATGTTTTATAAGTTTTATTGTATGTATCCACTTTGATGAGCTAATTAAAAAAATTATAAAATTATATAGCATAWTATGTAATYTCTTTATAAAGAACTTATTTTGTATTTTACTAGTAAGGCTCGGAAATTATAGGAGTTAAAAAAGAAATAATATGCATGTAAATATGTATAAAAAACTGTCTATAATATGAACTTTTTTTATATACATTATATATATTCATAAAAGTTTAAATTTCAACAAGAAAAACCATTTTATTTTCTTATTGATTTGCACTAAAAGAAATGTTAGCTATTGAAAAATAAATTTATAATATATAAAATATGACGAGAAGCTGTTTGGAACTTTTGAAAATATTATTAAACTGAATAGAAATAGTTAAAAAAATATATTAGAAAAGATAGTACAATGGAATATTAGCGAGTTAGGAATTATATAAATGCGCATCGCACTGTTGTTAAATTAATAGTTGAATGTGGTGATGACAATAAATGCCTAAACCTACATTAAATAATGGTAATTGGTCAAAAAGTCCGGATACATTTTTGTTAATGTCGGACAAAAAGCCCCAGCACATTTTTATTGTCAGACAAAAAGTCTGAAAATATAATTAAAATATTTTATTACATTTTCATCTATAATTATATTATATATAGGTATTTCATACTACACAAAACAAATAATTCAATATAAACATCGATGCATACAATAATAATAATAATAATTTTAAATAATTCAATACAAATATCGACCATTATCACAGTAATATTAATAATTTAAATTACTTAAGTCAAAATAAAAATTTTTSTATTGAATTACTTGTTTTGTGTAGTATAAAATGACCGCCGTGAACTTGGCACCCCGACTTTGTCGTATCGTCCCCAAACCAATACCATATTTTTGCAAATAATTTGCAACAATTTGCAACACCAGAAAAAAAATTTGCAACATARTTTTACAACCCCCACAATAAAACATGTTTCGGGGTGCCAWSKTSAMSTTGGCACCCCGACTTTGTCGTATCGTCCCCAAACCAATATCATATTTTTGCAAATAATTTGCAA